AACCCTACTGTATTAAACCTAATGAAAGAACGTCACCGTTACCCCCACGAGGCTGATGTTCTTTGCACCTGCCAACGCCACTGTGTAGCCCAAAGAAGAGTTGGACGTCAAGTATGAGCCGGAGCATCTGGGGAAGCGGCTGGCTGACCTCCCCTAAGCCGGCGCAGGTCAGGGAGGCCAGTAATGGCCCTGGTGCAGATGGGTCTCTGCGCTGGACACCGCCCCCAGTGGAGGAGGAGGAGGAGGAGAATGAGTTGAACCCACATGGCAGGACATTATCTCTCCATACAATAGCTTTGGGAGCAGGCCACTGGCGCCAAGGCTGTGGGGCCGCCACCGGGAAGGCATTAGAGACCCGCCAGCGAGCAGCGCGACCATGAGCCAGCCTTCTAAGGCACGCTATCAAGAAAGCTGCATCGAACCCTTACCAGAAAGTATCACAGATGTTCTTGTTGGGACAAAACGGACTGGTTAGTCAAACAAAGAGGCTGGGTTGGGTTTGTGGAGTTCTTCCAGGGAGAGGACCTAAAAGGTGGAATCAGAAATGTGCTGCTGGCTTTCTCAGGTGGTGCTGGAGCAGGGGCTGTTTGGCACATCTAATTATATGCCAAATAATTTGTGCCTTTTCTTTATCCAGGAAGGTCAGCGTTCTACATTTTGTAGATGTTGACCCATTTGTAGTGGGTGATGGTAGTTTAGCTGGATGCTGATCATTTAACTTCTTGGAAAGGTTTTTGCTCACACTGGGAGAATCCCAATCTGAAAAATCATCTTTGGTGAACTGCACACCCTCCATGGCTTCTGAAAGTGTGCCGGTTGTTGAAACTAAACGTCGATCCTTTCATACAGTGACTCTGGAAGGAAGCAGGGGAGTTTTCCCATCTATTTATTCCTGTGAGCCATAACCTTCTTGCCACTTGTTGTTCTGGCTTGTAAGTGCAGTAATTGACTTGTAACCAACTCTTGCCACTCAAACCATGTACTTGTGCTGTGAGTTAAATGTACAAGGGGGTACCCCATAAAAACCAGAATTGTGCTGGCAGGGCAGAGCTTTTATACACATTTTTCCCACTAGGGGAGCATCAAGCAACTCGTTCTGAGTTAGTGCATCTAGTGGTGTCACCTGGGAAGGTTTTCTCTGGTCACAGTGAATTTTTTCATAAAAGCAGTTGATAGCCAATTTAAGAGAATAGTGTGTGACTGTGAAATTTTGTTTCCTGCTCTGGAAAAACGCTGCAGAAACTGTTGTGATGTTGAACACAGCTTATAAGGACAGCTCTATGGGGGAAAACTCAGGTGTAAAAGTGATTTTCTCGTTTCAAAAAAGGTGAAATGCCAATTCATGATAAACCTTGTTCTGTTTGTCCGTCAACCTCCCCAATGAACGAAAATGTTGACTTGTGGGAGTTCCTTTCACCAGGTCAGATTGTTAATCAAGCTTTCTATTTTAGAGGTTCAGAAAAGACTGCATAACAGTGTGCAACAAAAAAGGCTTGATTTGCGGCAGATGGGACTGGTTTTGCCACTGCAACAATGCACCCACTCACTCAGCCATATTAGTATGCCAGTTTTTGGCAAAAACAGCATGCCTCTCTTGCCCCAGGCACCTTACTCACCTGACATCACTCAGTGTGACTTCTTTTCATTTCTGAGAATGAAAAGGGACATGAAAGGACAGTGGTTAGACATCATAGAAAAGGTGAGAGAGAAAAAAAACAAGGAAGGTGCTGTCAGCCATCCAAACACGAGTTTGAAAAATGTTTCCAAAAATAGAATCACAGATTTGACAAATGTATTAACTGTATTGGAGAGTACTCTGAAGGTGATATGGATGTTTTAGGGGGGAAAAATTTTAATACATAGCTTTCAAAAATGTTTCCCATTTTTGGGGGGTGGTAGCCCCTCATATTTGTGAAGTTAGACATCAAGCACAGCCTGGGCTATAACCTCCAAGAGTGCTGACTACTTAGCAGAACAGCAAGTGGCAAGAAGGTTACGGCTCAGGAATAGATAGATGGGAAAACTCCCCTGCTACCTTCCAGAGTCACTGTATGAAAGGATCAACGTTTAGTTTCAACAACCGGCACGGCACGCTTTCGGAAGCCATGGAGGGTGTGTAATTCATCAAAGATGATTTTTCAGATTGGGATTCTCCCAGTGTGAGCAAAAAACCTTTCCAAGAAGTTAAATGTTGATGATCAGCATCCAGCTAAACTACCATCACCCACTACAAATGAGTCAACATCTACAAAATGTAGAAGGATGACCTTGGTGGGAAAGGACAGTACTGGAGCTGTTTTTCTAACGGGATGATCCTGCCCATAACCTGTATAAAGTAGAGCGATTAGAAAACAAAAAGCGGAAAAGATTCTACTATGAAAAATCTGCATTTGAAGACTACCAAAGATGCTTCACCTTATGAGAGTTCACACCCAAGGATGTGCACACGTCCAACTCAGGTCAGTTTTGCCATTTCACTGGGTATCACTGAGGCATGTCAGAAAACAAGAAGTGAGAGTCCCATGACCACCAAGGGAGACCCAGGAGTCAGGTGGGTTCAAGAGCCCTGTGTGAAGAAATGGTCGGGGCCACACAGGTAACAGCAGACAGCAGTGGGCTTCTCAGTCTGTCACTGTGGTAAAGCTGAGTGCCTTCAACAAGGAATCTGGACACCTAACCATGTTAAAGGAGCTCCACAGCACATGCCTGAGCAGGGCAGAGGTCAAGAGACACTGTGGTCACTTGGTGCATGTGCACTGGGCGGGGAATAGGGGAGGATCGGTTATGTGCGTCTGGCTTCACAGTGCTTGCTTAGCAGCCAGCATGGTGACTGACATGTGCACGCGCTGTTCTGGTTAATGTCACTATTTGCATACTATTTGTCTGAGTTGCAGGATTAGGCATAAAAATGGAGCCACTCATTTACACGGTTAAATTATTTTTAAGTTCAAAATTAAAATGTGGGCAGTGCTCATGAAATCAATCAGCTGTAAGAGGTGGGCCATCCTGGCTCAGGACTGGAAGATGATGTTATCGTCACCCACCGGAGGCACAAGGTCAAAGTCCGAAATCTGCCAGAAATCGACCTAGCCTTTTGCTCTCCGGAAAGGAGAAGAAAGTGATTTAAATTAAAGAGACAATGAAAGCAGGTAATAGGGGCGGTGTGGCAGGCTGGTGAAGGGCCAAAGTCACAGGCAGGGTGTGGAACACACTGGTGACCCCAACAGGGGCTGGCACCGAAATGGCTGTCTACAGTTTGTGTAGTGCTTCAGCACAAATTCATACTTCTTAAGAAATTTCTGTAGTTAAAAAAAAAAAACTAATGAGAACTTGGGAACCTGGTTTAGAAGTAGGAATTATCTGTATATTCTTAAGGTAAAAGTGCCCGCTATATTGATGTTTTCCTACTTGTAGGTACTGCTGTTAAGTACCTTGGGTAAGCATATCACACACCAGCTTAGAGCTGTGTAGTAATTCTCAGTTGTGGTGTAATAAAATAACAAGTACATTTAAAATTAGTACTACAAATTATAGAGGCATAGAAATTTATCTGATTCTTTTCCTAAAAAAACGTTGTTTGCAACATTAGAATATTTTGTACATTGGTATTGAGAGAATCTCATTAGCATCTCTAATGATTCATTTGGAGACTTTTGAATTCATTTCCTGGTAACAGCATTATGGTGTGTATCAGTACAAAAAGGCCACAGAAATTTAAACAAGGAAAACTGCTATACTATTTAACTATTTACTGTCTCCATTTTAAAAACCTGCTGGCAGCCACTGAACAAAATATATTGAAACAGTTGTTGCTTCTCTAACAAATTGTGTGTCCATAATTTTTGGTTTTGCTTCCCTCTCAAGACTGTGTGTTACATCTATTGGAAAACAGATATTCACAGATAAATAAAATAAAGAAATAGAAAGTAATAATTTGTAGGGAAGAAGCCCTCTCTGTTTTTTTGTTTCAAGAATGGATTCTGGTTTAATTAGTGGAACTAACAGGTGTGGTGAGTCTGAAAGAGAAAGAGTGTTAGTGGGTTAGGAGAAGTTTTCTTGAAAAGCCCGTTTTACATTGAAGCCATCCTTATTCCAGCTGAGAACTACTTAATCTTTTCTGAAATGACATAAAGCAGGGATTTCAATGTAGTGTGGGAAAACCTGCCTTTCTTTGAACCTGACAACATCATTACCACCCTCAAAAACTAGTGTTAAGCCATACATCATTCATTTCTTCAGAAAAGTCCTTAGCTTTAGAGATTTTTGTGTATTCTTTCAACCAAGTAGGCATCTTTTATTAACAAAACCACGATATCTGGCCGTAGAGAACAGAATTAACACATTAATAGTAACAGTAGCCTTGGGTAGACAAGAATTATTTCATACTAATACTAATAATTTATATTTAATACTTTGTTGCCTAATAGACCTCTATTCTGTTTTAAAGTGACCTTCACGGTCAGCATTCGAAGGCAGACATTAATCAATTGTACTAGTGTTTGTGAGACATTTCTGATTGTAAATTTGAGATTTTAAGGAAAAAGGCTTAGTTTAAACTGACTCAATAGTCTTCCATTTTAAGAAGTGAAATTAAGCCTTGTATTATACACATCATTTTTAAGTATTTTTTTAACTACAAGATTTTTTCACCAGGAAATGTAAATGTAATCGTGTAAGAAAACTATCTTTCTACATTTATGAAGTATTTTATAATTTAGAAAACATTTTCTTATATTTCATTCCTTCAAAACATTAACTGTATTGTTGTCTTTATGGTCATTGTCTCTTCTCTGTAGTTAAATTAGGCAGAAAGAGTGGGTTAATACATAATGACTCTAAAACTACAACTCATCACTTCCAAATTATCTAGTGTTTTTCTGTCAGTCATTCTTAAACAAATTAACCTACACGTTTTCATATTACTTTCCCCTTCTTAAAGTATTTTGTCTTTGACTTGGCCCCACACTGGATTAACAAATTCATTCTCTCTACGTCTCCAGGGCAGAGCTCTACTCCATTGGGCATGTGACCGAGGGCACAAGGAACTTGTCACAGTCTTGCTTCAGTGCAGAGCTGACATTAACTGTCAGGTAAGCGTGGTGAAAGGTCGCAGTTTTCTTGGGATTTTGTGTTTGGTTTTCACTGAGATAAAGTCACATTCACAAAATTCAACATGTTGATGTTTTTTAGAGTGTATAATTTACTAAGATTAAATTCGCAGTGTTGCACAACCATTACTTCTCTCTATTCTAGAACAGCAGTTCTCAACCTGTGGGTAGCGACCCCTTTGGGGGTCAAACAGCCCTTTCACAGGAGTTGCTCAATTCATAACAATAGCAAAATGACAGTTAGGAAGTAGCAACGAAAGTAATGTTATGGCCAGGGTGTCACCACAACATGAGGAACTGGATGAAAGGTTGCAGCATTAGGAAGGCTGAGAACCACTGCTCTAGAACAATTTTATCACACAGAAAGGAAATCCTCTAGCCACCAAGCACTCACTCCCAATTTTTACCTCATAGGAGAAATCACTCATCAGTTTTCTGTCTCTATGAATTTGTTTTTTCTAATTATCTCATATAAGTGAAATCATAAAATATATGACCTCGTGTTTAATTTCTTTCATTTAGTACAATGTCTTCACGTTTCATCCCTATTGTATGTTGCATGTATCAGTACTTCATTCTGCTTTATGGCTTAATGTGTGAATAGGACACTTGTTGTTTATGCATTCATAGGATGGTCATTTGGGTTGTTTCTGCATGGTAGCCATTGAGGATGATGTTGCCATGATCACTTATGTACAAGTATTTGAATTCCGCCTCAGTACTTTTCGGTACGTAGATACATAGGAGTAGAATTGCTAGGTCATATGGTAAGTCTGTTTTTAACTTTTTAAAGAACTGCCAAACTGCCTGTCACAGTATCCTCACCACACTGTTTTTGCATTCCCTCTAGCAATGTAGGACTGTTTCGATTTCGCCACATCTTCAACAACATTGTTTTCTTTTTTAGCTTTGTATAACCATCCTAGTAGACAACTCATTGTGGTTTTGATTTACATTTCCTTAGTGACCAATGTTGTTACAATTTTTTTTCATGTGTTGGAGGGCCACTTGTATATCTTCTTTGGGAAAATGTCAGTTCAAGCCCTTAGCCCATTGTTAGTCAAGGTTGTAATAGATTTCTTGACTTTATACCCAAACCTATGCGCCATCAAGTTGAGATCCAATTCATAGTGTCTGAATACCAGAGTAGAACTGCCCTATGGGATTTTCTTGATTGTAATTATGGATTACAGTCGATGAAAGCGGGTGGGTTTAAACTGCCAGCCTTTTTGTTAGTGTTCGAGTGCTTATCTGTTGCACCCCCAGGGCTCCCTTTACTTGTGAATCAAGACATTTGTCACTGTTCAATTGTGAGAGCTCTGTATATAATGTTTGCTAAACCTTTAGTTATATGATTTGAAAATATTTTCTCTTTCTGTGAGCTATCTTTCCACTTTCTTGATACTGCCTTCGATGCATAAGTTTTCAATTTTGATGAAGTCCAATGTATCTATTTTTCTCTTTTACTGCTTTTATTTTAGGTGTCATACCTAAGAAATCCTTGCCAAATTCAAAGGCTTGAAGATTGACCCCCCTAGGTTTTCTTCCAAAGACTTGTATAGCCTTTCCTATGGCATGTAGATCTTCGTCCCATTCTGCATGTGGATTTCAAGGTGTGCCAGCACCGATTTTTTGAAGAGCCTATTATTCTTTCTCCTGTTGAATGAACTTGGTACCTTTGTTGAAATCCATGTAATCATAAATGCATAGGTTTCTTTTAGGACTCTTAGTTCTTTCCCAGTATTCCTTAGACCAACACCACACTGGTTTGGAAACTGTGGCTTTGTAGTTGCGTCTCTAGGTTTTGAAATTGAAAAATGTGAATTTCCTACGTTGTTCTTTTCAAGATTGTCTTGGCTATTTAGGGCCCCTTAGAGGTCCGTAGGCATTTGAGGATCGACTTTTCCATGTCTGTAGAAAAGCTCATTGGAGTTTTGGTAGAAGTTTCATTGCATCTGTAGATCTCTGGATGGTCTTGAGATCATAGTAATATTGAGTCTTCCCATTCACAAAAATGGGACAGCTATTAATTTATTCCAGTCTTCTGTTATTTCTTTTAGTTGGCAAGTCTTTCACCTCCTTTGTTAAATTTATTAAGGTTTTTTTGGTTATGTTGTTGTACATGGAATTATTTTCTTAATTTCCTTTTAGGAAATATCTAGTATATAGATATGCAAATGATTTTTTATCATACGTGTTGATCTTGTGTCCTACAACTTTGCTGAATTTGGTATGCTCTATTTTTATGTGAACGGTTTAGTAATTTTTTGAACAATCATGCCATCTCTTAGAGTGAATGGCCTTTCCACGACAGTGTTGAGTAGAGTAGTGAGAGCTGGAAGCGGGAAGCACTGTTTGCTGGAAGCACTGTTTGCTGGAAGCACTGTTTGATGTAGAATTTTTTTAAGTGCTCTTCATCTATTCTATGTATCATAACAGGGTGTTTTTTTGTTTTAAAAATCATACATTAGTTGAGATGATTATGTTTTTTTCATTTTATTAATGTGGAAAGTGTATATATATTACATTAATTGATATTTATTTGTTAAACTATTCCTGGAATAAATTCTACTTAGTCATGTTGCATATTATTTTAATATGCTGCTGGATTGAATTTGTTTATATTTTGTTGTGGAATTTTTTAATCTATAGTCATTAAAAGTATTGGTGTTTACTTCAGTTTTCTTTTTCTGGCTTTTGTATTAGGTTAATACTGGCCTCAATGAGTTAAGAAATGTTTCCTTCTGTATTTTGGAAGAGTTTGAGAAGGATTGGTGCTAATTTTTCTTTAAATGTTCAGTAGGATTCACTAGTGAATCCATCTGATACTTGAATTTTATTCCTTGAGAGGTTTTGATTATTGATTCAATGTCTTTGTTTTTTATAGGTCTGTTCAGAATTTCTATTCTTGAGATAATTTTCATAGTTCATGTGTTTCTAAGAATTTTTCTATTTCACCTAGGTTAATTAACTTGTTATGGTACAGCTGTTCATAGTTCTTTTTATTTCGGTAAGATTGATAGGCATCCCATTTTCATTTCTGATTTTAGTTATTTGAGTCTCTCTAAGTGTAGCTGCAGAATTGCCCATCTCCTTGATATCTTCAAGGAACCAACTATTGCTTGTTTTGACTTACTGTCACTCCACTCTTTTTAAAAATGTCCTTTTTTTTCTGCTCTTGTTTAATTTCTCCCTTTTTCCCTTAGTTCCTTAAAATGTAAAGTTATTGACTGGAAACCTTTTTTCCTATTTCAATGTCACATTTATGCTACCAATTCCCCTCCGAACACTGCTTTCACTGCATCCCTTAGTTTTGCTTTGTTGTCTTTTTGTTTTCATTTGCCTCAGAGTATTTTATATTTCCTTTGTGGTTTTCTTTGACTCATTTAATATCTTCATATGAGAGTTCAAAATGTTTGTTGGGAAATTTCATTATCTTTTAATTCAATTTTTTCACAAACTTTATGAAAGCCCACTCACATTTGCAGTTTTCCAGTTTTCCTTATAGATTTCTAGTTTCATTCCATTGTGGTAGAAGGTATTTTGTATGGTCTCAGTCTTAAAATTTTCTTGGAACTTGTTTGGTGGCTTAGCATTTTGTCAGTCCTGGAAAATGAATCACTTGTACTTGAGAAGAATTTATATTCTGCTATTGTTGGATGTAGTGTTCTGAATGCACCATTGTTAGGCCTAGTTGATTTTTAATGTTGTTCAGGTCCTGTATTTCCTTATTACTCTTCTGTGCAGTTGTTATATCCATTATTGAAAGTGTGGGGTGTTGAAATCTCGATTACTGTAGAATGTGTTTATTACTTTCTTCACTTCTCTCAGTCTTTTGCTTTATTCATTAGGGGCTTTATTGTTAGGTACATATATGTTTGTAATTATTATTTATTCATTATGGTGTGATTTTTTTGCTCATTGTTTAATGTCTTTGGTAACAAGAGACAAAGAATTTTTTTCTAGTATTAATGTAGCTGCTTCAGCATATTTTCTTAGATGTCTTTTCCATCTTTTTATTTTCAATCTGTATCATTGAATCTAAAGTGAATTTCTTTTATATAGCATACAGATGGCTTTTTAAAAAAAATCTGGCACTTTGTCTAAAAGAGTTTAACCTATTTAGATTTAAAGTAAATACAGTTAAAAAACTGATCACTATCATTTTGCTATTTTTCTATGTCTTAGATATCGTTCTCCAGTTTCTTCTCAGCATTAATTTTTTATATCTTCTTTACAGCATCTTCATTCAGGTTTTCCCAGCATATGGTTTTCATTTTTTAAATACCACATATACTGATGTATAAGCCAAGTTTTTTTCAGCACATTTTTTATGCTGAAAAAGCCCCCCCAGTTTTTTGTGGTAAAATTAGGTGCCTTGGCTTCTCCTCGATTATATAGGGGTATATTGATAGTCCCCATTGTTTTACTTTAGAATAGTAATCATTTTTAATTTTCTGGTTTTTCTCTTAATTTCCATGTTCCCACAAGTTTATATTGAGTCTGAAAGTTGAAGTTTAGATTTCTGACATATTTTGAAGCTTAGAAATAGTACTCCCTTAGTCTTGCCATTTATCAGACAATTTTAGCATCATAAACTTTTGAGATAACAAATAATAGCTGTACCTTTAAATATTCCTAATCAGTTTTTTCCTTTGATGTAACTTATTTAAATGAATGATTGTATTGACTTACTTTGATTCTTTTATCCTATAAATCCATAGCAAAAGTGCCCGGTACTGAATCACAACACTGAATATAGAAATTGCCCTCCAGTTTCCAAATAAAATATAAAGTTAGTTTTCTTTTGAGTGATTTTGTTTTTAAAGTATTTATCTTAAAGAAATGCTTCATTAGGAAACAAAACCAAATACCGCACCTCCCCCCCCCCCCAAAAAAAGCAAGCTGTTTCCACAGAACTCTTTTGAGCCTCATAATTAACTGTAATTATACTATCAATGAAAGACAGGTAGTCAAATTAC